TTGTTGTTGTTGTTGTTGTTGTTGTTGTTGTTGTTGTTGTTGTTGTTGTTGTTGTTGTTGTTATTAGTCTATGATAAGCAGGAAATACCGCCCTCTACAGGTTATTATTGGAAGCACAACGTGGTGACGTTTCACCTGCGACACGCACGCATCTTGCAAACAGTCATGCGCAGATCGCAACGTTGTTGTYGCTGCTGGTTGAAAGTGTTGTAAACTACAGATTACCGTGCGCCGCCGCTCCGTATCAGTTCTTTGTGAGTTTGTTTTTGTAAAGTTGGAGCTTTACGCGGGGGAGGAGGGTGCACCAGGAAGCGGAGCAGCGTGAAGAACGGGCTCCTCTTCCTCCTTCTTTCTGACGGAACTGAGAGGCAGCACGGGCACTGCCATGTAGCTCCGAGGCAGAAGAATGAGCAGTCAGCACGCTTCAACAGATGGGACTGATGACTATACTGTGCAGCAGGAAAATGAACTAGAAGCCCTCGCTTCTATCTTTGGAGATGATTTCCAGGATCTGCGGAAGAATGACCCTTGGAAGGTAACACTTTTTAAATTATTTTTACAGTGAGCTGGACTAAAAAGTTGTTATGAGTGCTTCTGTACAAGAATAAGATGCAGTATATACCCTATAAATATCAGTGAGTCATCTTTGACTTGATTTTCAGGTTAAAAGGCCTCCAGAGGTACACCTGTGCCTGCGGCCAAACGGGCTGAATAATGGGCAGGAATGCTACGTGACGGTGGACCTACTGGTGAAATGCCCTCCAACTTACCCGGACGTGTGAGTACTGATCTCAGCTGACCTTCACCGTTTCATTTCTAGGATCAGAAAGCACTGGAAGATGCTCGATATGCTGCTGACTAGCTGCTGCAAAGTGGAGAGTGTCTGGAGAATTGATAAGATGATAAAACTGCATCCTAGAGTCAGACATGCATGAATCTTTTTATTAGAAATACTTCATAATAGGAGTGTGTGTAAATTATTTCTCACAGTTATTAATGTTGTATGCATWAAAAAAAAACCTGCACCCTCAGGCCTCCAGAGCTGGAGCTGAAGAATGCCAAAGGCCTTTCAAACGAAAACCTCCAGAACCTCCAGAGTGAACTGGCCAAGCTGGCAGCGGTGCGGTGTGGGGAGGTGAGGAGGCGCAGAGATGCAACGTAGAATTGCATCCGAACAAAGATTTCCCATAAACCGACCGGCTTGTCCCGACAGGTGATGATTTACGAGCTGGCCGACCACATCCAGGGCTTCCTGAGCGAGCACAACAAGCCCCCGCCGCGCTCCTTCCAYGAGGAGATGCTGAAGAACCAGAGGAGGCAGGAGGAGAAACGAGCTCTGGAGAAGCAGCAGAGGATGGACCAGCAGCGCAGACAGGAGGAGGAGATGGTCAGAAAGCGAGACAGTTAATGTCGTTTGGGTTGACGCTGTAATGCAAAACTGTATTTAAATAATTTATCTTTCACAAAGACAAAACCATATTAACTTTGACGTGCAGATCTTTCAAATACACAATTAAAACAGCTTTATATTTAAGAAACATGCATTCATCACATAACTGGCATATTTTTTCTTTAAACTTGGCTCAGCCAAAGTGAAACAGGAAGTGACATCAAAGGGGAGCTATTTAAAAAATAAAACTCCCTGGTATGTGTTTATTGAAACATTATTTGAACTCTGTCTCTTCTYCATCTCTCTGATTGTGGCTCGAAGTAATTTTAAAGAAGCATCAGATTCTTCTCTACAGTTTGTGTTAGCTGTTGTAGCAACGCTTTGTTCATATTCAGACATTCCCCTTTGACATCACTTCCTGTTTCTTCACATGCAAATATCTCAACAACTGTCCTCAGCAGCATGAAACATTTTTTTTCAATATATTATTAATGTTATCTTTCCAAAAATACATTAATATTCGTTTAAAAAATGATATCACAGACATTTTAAAATCCTTTTTAAATAACCCTTTTTATTTTGATGCATTGTTTTGACTGTAGTTTTCTTCTGYTCTCGTAGGAAAAAGAGATCATGGCTGAAATTCAAAGGAGGGAGGAGGAGAAACGAGAAGAAAAGAGAAGAAAGGAAATGGCCAAACAGGTGTTTGTGCAAAAGTTCTTCCGTAGATTGTTTAGTGACGTGTGCACATTCACCATCGTTTCATTGTTAAGAAGTGTTCAACCATCTCCTGTTGTCAGGAGCGACTGGAGAGCACAGAGCAGTCTGTCTCTGTGTTCGGGAGCCCACCCAGCTCTGGTGCAATGACTCCCGAACTGATCGAGGCCAAAAAAGCTGCTATCAACCGCCGTCGTACTGCCTCCAGCACACGCCACAGGTACATGTACAAATACTCTACAATTATTTTTAATATTAAACAGAATAAATAATAAAATGTTAATTCCCAGACGTGATACGGTTAACGAAGACGGCCCTCGCCCGCAGGAGCTTCTTCACTTCAACAGCAGCACTTTTGGAGAGCTTGTCGTCCACAAAGGGAAAAGTTTAGGTGAGYTTTATCAGTCGATCCTGTTCATTTAGCTCTTCTCAGTGAGCCAAACCAACACTCGAATGTTCAGTTCAGTTCAGTTAGTTTATTAACTTCTTTAAAAAACAACAACATAAATTCAACACACAACAAAAATACAAATCATAAATGAAAGGTAGCAGAAGAAGAAAAAAATATTGTATCTGCCCCTTTCTCTCAAATAAATAAATTCAATCAAAAATAATTTTTAGTTTATAAAAAAAAAAGAAAAATAATAAAGGTTTAACTCCTTGAACAACAATTCATACATTTGCATATTTCTCCAGCAAATTATTCTTTATCATTCTCTTTAATCTACACATTGATCTGGCATTTTTAATGACATCTTCCAGATTATTTCATAATCTTATACTCTGGACTGAAGTACTCCGTTCCTTTTAAACTGGTTCTAAATTTGGGTTTAACAAACATCTCTATCCCTTTGAGATTATAACTTTCTCTTTTAACAAAGTGTAGTTGAATGTTTGAAGGTAATGTGTTTTTATGAGCCCTGTACAKGACTGATAAAATACCATAATTAAATCATAGAATTTCAATAACTTCAACTGATGGAACAATGTATTTGATGGGTGATAGTAATGCTTTCTGGTGATAATTCTTGCAGCTCTTTTCTGTAAAACAAAAATTGTTGAATGTGTTTCCGACAGGTGAAAGCAAGCGACTTGGCCGGAACGTTTATTGCGGGTTTGAAGCAAATTCTGGGGAGTTTTCAGTGATCTATGAGTGGTCGCTGCGCTGGAGCCAAAAGATGGGCAAGTTTTTCACCAGCCAGGAGAAGGGGAAAATTGAGAACTGTAAAAAGCAGGCAAGAAATGAATAAATAAAACACAGAAATGTAATGTAACACTTCTAGAAACGTTAGTTCACCACAGTTTAAACTGCTTTGTAGATCCACGCGGCAGAGAACGAGTTCAACTCCCTGCTGCGGCTGGACCATCCTAACCTGGTGCGCTACATGGCGCTGAGCTCCTCTGAGAAGGAGGACAGCCTCGTGGTTGACCTGCTGGTGGAACACGTGGCCGGGGTCAACCTGAACCAGAGCCTGATCAGCCAGAGCCCGCTGTCGCTGGATAAACTCGGCCATTACGCGGCGCAGCTGCTCTCGGCGCTCAACTACCTGCACTCCAACTCCGTGGTGCACAAGCAGCTGGGGGCCTCCAGCGTGCTGGTGGACTCCGAGGGCAACGTCCGGCTGACCGATTACAGCTTGTCCAAAAGATTCGCGGAGATCTGCAAAGAAGACATCTTCGAGCAAGCCCGCGTGCGTTTCTCTGAGGATACAGCGATGCCGACAAAAACGGGGAAGAAGGGGGACGTGTGGAACCTGGGGCTGATGCTGCTCGCGCTCAGTCAGGGGAAGGAGGTGAAGGAGTATCCTGTGACGGTGCCCAGCAGCCTGCCTGCTGACTTTCAGGACTTCCTGCACAAGTACGTATTTCAACACAATATTTTAGCCTCTAAAGCAATTGTTCAGATTGAAAGCCCGAATCATGCGCAGAAAACTGATCAAGTTCTCAGTTAAATATTTATTTACAGATCTAAAGACTGACTCTGTCTGTGCCTTCTGAGGTCTAAAAACAAAATGGCCATGAATCATGTGTTCTTACAGTGTTTATAGAAAACCTGGTCACACCCTGGATATGATGTCATAGTAAACAAGGAAGTACTCTTACAACAGCTCTACATTCCTAAAATATCAAACATTCTGTGTTTACACTGCTGGAGCGAGGCACATGTTAAACTAGACATAGGTTTTTACGATGTAAAAAGAAGTGTGCATTGCCTTGTAGCATGCCATTTCAGCATGCCTTTGCCTGCAGCTTGAACTGTGACAAAGTTGAAATGTGTTTGCTGATCAAGTACCAGCTTGTGCCTGCCAAGTCAGCAGTTGTTTGTAATGAGGGTAATTGTGTGAGAATACGACAATTAGAAAATATGTAGTTTAAATGAAATATTTTGTTTATAGCTGGGATTGAACCCTGATCTCCCACATGAAAGCCCATAGTGTTCACCATGAGACTATAGGAGCTGTTGCAGTAGGTACTCCAAGTGTTAGGTTTGTATGTGTGCTGAAAGAGGCCATATTGCCAATGCAATTGTTGACACTAAACTGCAATATATTACAACAATAAAGGAATATTAGGACAATATTATAGTGAAAGATTAAAATACAATYATGTTTGTATTGTAAACACTGAACTACTGAGTTTAAATATTATTAAACTAYGGTGCAGTACTGAGTAGAYACAGCATGGGKCAGTATTGGACGCATACAAGGCTCCATTGACTCCCATTATTTGATTTCAAACATTAATATTTCAAAAACTATAGGTTGTACAGGCACCAAAAGGCATAGCAATCATTTGGCACAGGAGCTTTACAGATTTAAATTACAATGGCAGCTSTAGGACAAAGTATRCARGAGGAGAAGCATGCCAAAGTGGAGATGACTTGGATGGGAAACGAATCACAATAGTGTGCATTGCATTGGCATTGCACACTGATAAAACCTTGTTGATTCTCTTACTGTTTAAAGTAGATGATTACAATCGATCACAAAATATAAAATATAAGACTTTATCTAAACTTCAGTTAATCAGCCATAAAATATCCAACAAGCTCATCTATCATAAATAATACAGTATTCTTCTGGACAACTTGTTCCTTTCATTTTTACTTTATTGGTAACACTTGTTCACTCGTACATGATCATTTGAAAGAATAAACACAGTTTAGTCAGGACTTCAAGTTAAATCAAGCGGAAAAAGAACAGTGTTTTGATTTTGTTTAACATCTGCCTAAAATTATGACAGCCCTTTGGTTCCAAAGACACAAAAATGAAAGAGAATGGAAACAAAAAACATTTCACAAAACAATTACACAAAAAGAAAAAATTAAAATAAAAAAGGTATATAAACATAAAGCAGAACAGAAAACATAGCAACACAAAAGCTTTATTCCAAAATCATGAATATTGGGTAAAAACAGGAAGTTCACACATTGAGTTGATTTGGTTTGTTTGGACTGTTTGTTCGAAACCCCATGTTGTGAGCAGATCATGAGCGCAGTATTTATTTTCATTTCATTTATTGTTTGTTTAGGGACAAGTGTCAACATTAACATACACTAAATTATGTATAGCCGAGGCTAATTAGCAACAAAAGTCCCTAGATCGGCTTTTAGCAAATAAAACAGTTTAAAATACAGTTTAAAAAGAATAAAACATTACAGTATTAGGACAATTAAATAAAACAAATTAAAAACAGATAATAGTTATTCATGACTGTAAAACTGGTTCTCCTTCAGAAAAATTTGATCTAAAATCTGTAGGTAGGGAGTTCCACATGTTAATCCTCAAGCAGAAAAAGCTGTTTGACCCGAAGAAGTTTTTGAAAAAGGAACTCTTCAGTTCCTAAATCAGTAGAATGAATTATTCCATCTCAGTGTTGCAGGTTTTTGTGTCAGAACTGCCTGAAATCCCTYGGTGCCGTTTTGTTGTAGATGTCTGTGCCTGAATGATGCTGAACGCTGGACGGCTCAGCAGCTGTTGGACCACGCTTTCCTCAAACCTCCTTCACCTAAAAACCTGCCTCAGGACCAGGAAACCAGCCCAGAAGGTCCGCTCATCTCACAGTTTGGCTTTGTCTGTGGATTTTTTTTTTGTGTCAAACCAACTAAAGCGTTTTGGTTGATCATTTTCCAGATCTAGCCGTGGACTTTGCGTCGTCAGTCATCCCCCGCAGCTCCATCCTCCACGCTCCGTTCACTTCAGGGATGCAGAGGCAGTTTTCCCGCTATTTTGATGAGTTTGAGGAATTGCAGCTTCTGGGAAAAGGAGCTTTTGGTGCAGTGATAAAGGTAAACTTCACTGATTTTTCACATGTGGACTTGAGATGGGTATGACATTAAAATGACTTTTTTCGCTTCACGTCTAGGTTAAAAACAACCTTGATGGTTGTTATTACGCAGTGAAGCGCATCCAGGTGAACCCGGCCAGCAAGCAGTTCAGACGGATCAAAGGTGAGGTGACTCTGCTCTCGCGCCTGAACCACGAGAACATCGTCCGCTATTACAACGCGTGGATCGAGCGGCACGAGGTGCCCTCCACGGGGGTCCTGAGCAACACGGACAGCTCCGAGCCCCCGAGCGCAGCCGGCAAACATCTAGGGTGTGGCAATCCGCCRCAGCGCCTCAACGAGCTCGGCCTCCCTGACGACGTGGAGGACGTCGCCCCGCCTCCGGCTCTGTCCAGCTCCGTGGAGTGGTCCACCTCCATCGAGAGGTCCTCCAGCGCCAAGTGTGGCGGACACCAGTCGAGTGAGGAAGACGATGACGACGATGACGAGGATGAAGATGAAGATGATGTATTTGGAGCTTCTTTTTTGTAAGTTTTTATTTATTAGTTATCCAGGGGTAAGAATTTTGTCACATATTTGTCAACACGTCATTGACGGTTTTGTCCTTTTTTTTGTKTTGTTTTCACTCAGGCCATCAGATAGCGAATCAAGGAGCGACATCATCTTCGATAATGGCGATGACGGTACAGACGAGATGTCACAGGTGTGAGAATGTTTCACCTTGTTGTGTGAGAGCTGATTGGGCATTCACTCTGTTTTCTTTTTTTTTTTTTATTAAGGCAATTTTTTTTACAACCTAATCCTTCATACATTAAAACATACTTAGGAGATGGGTGCTGTTACTTTTGCTTTAGGTTACTTTTATAATAAAATATTTAACTTTAGTTACAAATTTTCTCCATAGAAATGCTAATTTCTTCAAAAACATTACGTTTATGCTTTCTTCTTATTATTTTTTATTTATATATTCATTTAAAACAAAAGAACATAAATTCAACATACAACAAAAAAAAATCATAAATTAAATGAAAGGCAGCAGAAGAAGAAAAAAATCTTATGATTTCTGCCCCTTTTTCTCAAATAAATAAATTCAATCAAAAAAAAACATCAATTTACAACGTACAAAAAAAAATTAAAGAAAAACAATAAAGATTTAATGCCTTCTTGAGTAACAATTCATACCTTTATACACATACATACTGTATTTCTCCAACAAATTTACCTTTATCATTTTCTTAAATATACACATTGATCTGGCATTTCTAACATCAATTATGTCGTCTTATGCTACTTCTACCTTAGTTTTGTTACATTTAGCCTTTAGCTAGTGGTTAGCAGATTTTGTACTACTTTTAGCTTTAGCTAGTGTTTGGTTATTTTGGGTTTTTAGCTAGTATTTTGCTCTTTTTATTTTTTTATTTAGTGTTCTACTTCTTTTTGCCTTAACAAGTCCGTTTCCAATTTTTCAACTAATTTTAGAAGATATTCAGCATTTCTACAGAAAATGCTATTTCTCCAGTTAACGTTAAAATTGTTACTTTCAAGCTTGTGCTTTAAACAAACTGTTTTTCTCTGCAGGTTGAACCAAGCAAAAGGCCAGCGACTGACACAACCGAGAGCTCAGACTCTGACCGACTTCTCTCTATAGCACATTATTTGTACATACAGGTAAACCTCTGTTTTTATCTACTTTTACCTTTTAAAACCTTTGCTTTTACATTTTGCTTTTGTTCTAACTGGTGTCTCGTGGTCCCAACAGATGGAATACTGTGAAAAAAGCACTTTAAGAGACACAATAGATCAAAGCTTGTACCTAGACCAAAATCGGTTATGGAGACTGTTCAGGGAGATACTGGATGGCCTGGCTTACATCCATGAGCAGGTCAGAATCGATCAAATAAGAAATCTAATGATTGRATTCATAATTTTATCACTCATGATCCCTTTCCTTCAGGGCATGATCCACAGAGACTTAAAGCCGGTCAACATCTTCCTGGATTCGCAGGACCATGTGAAAATTGGAGACTTCGGCCTGGCTACAGACCATCCTGCCAATGTGGTACCCAGATTTAATCTCTGCCCAGCTGAAAATCAGGAAAAATAGTCGGGATATGATCTTGAACTTTTAATTTTCTAACAGGCTGCAGGTAAATTTGATCTGGAGGAGAACATCACTGCATTGACGCCCAAACAGGACCCAGCAGGTAGAGAACTCTTTAACTGAGCTTTTAGAGCAGCGAATGCAAATATTCCTAATATGAAAAGTGAAGTTATTTTTGTGTGTTACGTTAAGGTAACATGACGGGCATGGTTGGCACTGCRCTTTATGTGAGTCCGGAGGTTCAAGGAAACACCAAAGCCACTTATAACCAGGTAAGAAAACAAAAATTCCAAGTTAACTTTGTTGTGTCTCTTTAATTGCATCTAATCCTCATTCTGCCCACAGAAAGTTGATCTGTTCAGTTTGGGCATCATACTCTTTGAGATGTCCTACCGGCCGTTTACCACAGGTGCGGAGCGCATCTCTGTTCTGAGCCAGCTGCGAATGGTACGTCAGGAGAAGCACAGGGAGATCTTTCTAAAAATCCCCAAATAATTTCCAAACTTTTTGTTGGTGCAGGAGTCCATCACATTCCCCGAGGATTTTCTTCCACACGAGCAAGGAAAACAGGTAAGAACAGCTGTAGCACTCTATGAATCAGCCTTTTCCCCCTAACACACACACATATTTGTTCTTCTATCCTCATGGGGACTTTGCCTTGACTTCCATTCATGTACTGGTCATTTTTATATCCTACCCCTGACACCTTACCCTAAACTTAACAACTCCAGCACACACCTGACCCTAAACCTAGCCTAAACTCAATTCACACATTAGTCCTAAAGCTAATCCCTGACACATCAACAGTATTTCCCCCAATGAGGAACGGGTTTTTGTCCCCATAAGGAGCAGTGGGTCCTCACAAGCCTGTGTGTACCTAGCCTAGTAAAAACYWGCCCCTTGTTCTTCGGAAGGGAAACTAGATTTGAGCAGAACTGCACAGGAAGGCGAGGGTCAGGCTAGTGTGTACCAGGAAAATGGTCAAGAATCATCTCCACCAGTTAGCAAAAGCATTTACACACACACAC